CATTGAAGAATAATTTTTTCTATTGTTTTTATGCAAATGGCAGGGAAATTTTTGTTCTTCCATTGAGTTCATATTGATTTTCTGTTTATTTTACAAAAGCGTGTTCTGTTGTTAAACATTTTCGTGTTAGATTTTTTAAGGTTATTGCCGGTTTTTCCTCTTCTTCACCGATATTTTCACGTATATATATTTTCTTATCTTATTACCTTTACATATAAGAAGTACACAAGATATTGTAACTAATTTAATGTTTGTTGTAAATTATTAAACCATTAACGATAAGATACCTAAACAATGGCGAATTTCTTGTTTCTCTTTTTTTTTGTGCGAAACTTCAACGAGAAGTCCATCAATATCTCATATTTTTCCCAAATTCTTCATAAAAGATTAAAGATTGTGAATTTTTTAATGAAACCCTTTTTGTGCGCGAACTTAACAATTCGTATATATATTTTACAGTTCTTGTTCTTGCTGGTCCTATATTTTGCCGGTCGTCTTCTTGCTGGTTATATATTTTCCAGCTGTTCATATATTTAGGTGCTCCTCTTGCTAGTCATATATTTTACAACTGTTCATATATTTAGGTCTTAACTGTGTGTACAATTTTCAGTAATTTGTTTTAAAAAAATTATATGCTTGTTTTTGATATCATATTCATTCCGCTCATGCGATTTGACGTCCCAAGAAATACATATTGTTTTTTCGGCTAAGCAAATTGACTGATATAAATTATTGATAATAAGTAAAATAATCTATTATTTGAATTATAGATCTTATTTAATTGCAGCAAACCCAACTGAATTGTCGAAAAATGAACATACTGTCTCGCGAATATACCGGTGCATTTCACGCAAGTAATGCAATTTACAATATACAGTGTGCGTGTGTTTAATGATTCACTTGAATGTTCTTACTTGTTTTGATGAAAACCATAGAAGCCTGAGTTTTAGGATTAAAAAGGATTTGTTTAGTTTTCCAAGTTTTTTAATATATATGGACATGATATATATGGCAGCAAAATACTTTCACTTAGACTCATAGTTTGGATCAGTTTCCACTATTTCTACAGAGTTTATTCCTCGCATACATCTTAAAAACACGCTCTGGGACGATAGAAATATTTGCACAAGGCAACTTTTAAGTTTGCTTAAAGCAGGAAAAAACTGCCATACCAGCCATAACTTCGCCGATAAAGAAAGAAGAATAAGACTGGAAAAAAATCCGACTTATTTAAATTTTGATTTAACGAAACTTTTTCGCCTATCTTTTGTGTAATACATATATATATTTTAGCAACAATAATTCCAACCGCCTGAGTGGACGAGTAGGCAAGAGTCTCAAGTAGCAACTCCAATAGTCGTGGGTCAAGTGCAATAGAGTTTTTAATAAAAGCCGCCAAATTTATAATAATAATAATAATAATGTTACGGAAAACCCAAATCCTCTTAATTCTAGCTAAGTAATAAAATCCCTAAAGAGGGGAAAAGTAAATGCACATCTGCAGCGTGAAGCTGCCGGCCGAACAAAACGAGTACCAGAAAAGCAGGTTAACGAATTGATAATAAGACTATAAAATTAGGTACTAGTAATATGATGGTAAAAATATATATAAATAGAATATTTGTGGAAGAGAGAGTTAGTAGAAAAAGAATGTTTAAGTTGAGCAGTTGAAAATATTGCCAAAAATAAATTGTGCATAATCCTACATTTAAGGAATATAATTGTAAATAAAAGAACTTTGAAGTGGATTTCTCTTGGACAAAATATCCACGGTCCAGTGATATGGACTATATCTTAGAAAAGCGAATTTTATAACAATAACATTAAAAATAATTCCATTTGTTTTTTTTATTTTAGTAGTTTTATTTTAATAGTTGTTGCCAATCTATGCATAATTTAAATCGGCTTAGACTTGATCATTTTAGAGGAGACAAACAATAAATATTGATAATCTTAAAAATTCATTTTTGAATATCTGTTAAAGCACCAAAACGTTCAACCCGGATTAACCAGAATCAAATTGTAAAATAAACACCTTCACAAGTTGTTTGTCATATGTAGTGTATATTACCTCTTAAAAGGAAAAAAGGAGGAAGATAGCTGTTTTTCTGCCTCTCTATGAGCTTTAATATTTAATATATTACCGGCAAGCGCACAGGCGTACGAAGTTAGAAGAAGGCAAAGAAGTCATTAATTCAAAAACAGAAAAATTACTATAAAGCAACTTTTTTTTATACTAAGTGATAAGTGAAGCGCGTACCATTTCTTCATTATTATGCTCTTTTCACTGAAAAGTTCACTGTGAAATTCCTGTTGTCATCACATATATATAAAATCTACTATTAATTGTAAGGAAAAAGCTAGCACTGCATGTGCAAGACAGTTTGGAGATTGCAGTGATAAGCAAACAGTGTTACTGTAAGTAGATCGTAAGAGTATAATTGTCATTTATGGTACTATTAGAACATCAACATGTCTAAATTTTGGTGCACTTAAACGTTCGTTGCGTATGCATGAATGTACATATGGTTACAACAAAGTGCGAGAAAGCACTTTGTGCTTTAGGACGGCTCTAGAATCGCCATCACGTGGACGTTTGTCGATATAATTTGGGAAAGCAATTTGACATCACCATAATTTTTTTTATATATTTATGTAAAAAGCTTTTGTTGCCGCAGCATGCAACAAATTTTAACTTTTTTAAAGAAATTGTACATATTAAGCTTAAGTTCTTTCTAGGTATCTCATCTTCAAGATAACTTGCTTAATTCCGACTTTTCTATATTGATTTTGAAGGTTTTGAAAAGACCGCATAGAAATGGAAATAACTAAAGCGGCCCAGAATCGTCTTTTCATCCATATGTCCTACATTAAATCCATGGACGCTGCTATCTTTCCGTGTCATGAATGCATTAACAAAATAAATAGTTCATACTATTCTTTAATAGCGCTTGTAAAAATCAATATGGATGCGATGTAAAATTCTTATAAACCATGGTATTTCTTTTTACCTTTTAAAGACATAACGTACCGATTTGATAATAATATGCAATGTAGATTAATTAAATGTTCTCTGCTTGCAGAAAGTTTTTTTTCATCATCTCTATAAACTTGTCTTCAATTTTTATAAAACTATTCTCACAACTTTCCAAATTGTTGGAAATATTTTGCAAAAATTTTATTTATTTCTTTTCGTAATTTCTTTAATAGATATACATATGTATGTATACATTTTTTTTTGCATAAGTGTCAGTGTGTTAAACACACGCATGAAATATGCGTTAAACCATCGCATTGGTGGCATAAGCAGGGAACATCTCTAGTTCTCCCTATCTTATGCATTCTGTTAATATTTGAATTCATGTTATTTAACATGTAAAAGACCTTAAGGATTCTGCTGAACCTGTGAAATGTTTGTACATAAGCAGCGTAGTGTGCGTTGCAAAACGTTTCTGTTCGTCTTTCTCCGATTTTTCTACTTAAATATCAAGAAAAATCCCAAATTACTTTCTATCGACCGTTAGGCAAAATTTTAAAAACAGGTTTATCTATCCGCAGGTCAGCGTTGTTTTTATCACAATAGGTCCACTGTCATATTGTGCGTGTTTATTTCCTTTTTTTTAAACTAAGCTCATCAAGCAAACATATTTGTAGCAAAAGTATGTATATTTTGATTAATCTGTGATATTAGAAGCTCTTAAGTTCGACTATAGCCACCAATTCCCATAATTCTATAAAGCTAGAACCATTTTTAGGCGGCTAAACGCACGCAGTAATGGATAAATTTCAAAAGTGCAGAAAATTTGAATGAAACCATTCGAAATCTAAAACATTTTAAGGGGCTAAAGATTTGACATCCGTAATAACACTTTCAAAAACAGACGTCATGACTTGATGCTTCCAGCCATTGCCGAAACTAGCGTGTATTCAGGTAAACCCTATTTTACAAACACTGCTGGTTAAATCTAAAATATATCTGTTAGCCGTTACATCTTCGCATCAATGTCAAAGTATTGCCATAAGCTGGTTCGAAAATACAAAAGACGACCAAAAATTTGATTGTTGCGAATCATATGTATCTCCTTATTGTAAAATTGAAGTGATCAAATCAGTATACATCTAGTGCTTGACCGTCATGCATCAAATTGTGCCGGGTTTCCTGATGATTATCGTAGATTCGGCCTACAGTGTTACCTTTCACAAACTTCGTAAGTTTAAAAGAAAAGGCAATAAAAAAGTACCTTATACATCTTAACGAGAACACAATGTTTACTGAAAAATGTAGAAAAATGTTAAAGAGACTCCTGTTTCATATCCTGCACACACTCTCATCTGATGTTATCTACGATTGAAATGCTAACTAGTATATATGAAAACGAATTGTATTGGAAAGACAACGAAGTGGATATAAAGATGAGAGTAAAGCAAATTTACATTAACAGAAAATGTTCAGTGAGTGCATTATATAGTAGTAAAAAACCCGAAGCGACGTAAAATTATATGCAGTGCGTGGGCGGTTGTCACGGACATTGTAGCCAGAAGAAAACACGTGCTATTCTCATTATATTGGGCGCATTATACATTATTTAGATATATATACATGTACATGTCACAAATGTACATATATATATATATAATAAAAATCTTAATTGTTTTGAAATTACGTCTACATATTTAATTGTGTTTTCTAGTGTGTTTGCTTTGTTACTCTTTGTTTTTCGGTAATTAAAAGCGAATAATTACATGCTAGTAATTTAAAAAAACATTTTTTTATAATAAAACTACACCTTGCTCTTTGCACTATTTTATAAGAAAGTGAAGTAAAGAAACGCAAAGTATAACAAAAAAGCTTGAAATCAATACCAGCAGACAATAAATGAAATTTTTAATAAGTAATCAATAGAATTAAAAGACGAAAAGTTATTAAGGAAAAAGCAACAAAATAATTTCTTAAGTCACATAAAAAGTTCATTAAAAATGATTTTTTTTAATGTGCCTAGATTTAAAGCAAAATTATTAAAAAAGAAAAGCCTTGCCAATATTTATTGCAACAACATGGGCAATGGCTTTGTTATACAAATATTTATATATTATACGTACATTTTATATTATATAAATGTATGTATATATTTAGATATATAAATTTTCTAGTGGAGATAGTGAAAATGTGTTGTGTGTTGATAGTGACAATTTGTTGGCGCTTTGCATCATTTAAGCTACTTAATGACAACAAATTGATGATAAATTAAGAGCAAAATATTTTAAAAAGTCTAGGAAAGGGTAACGTAGAACAAAAAAAGTATTTGAACTTTGACAATCTACATCCAATCTAAGAGAGCGGCTCAAAAAAGTATATACTTAATGAAAAATTACGCAGAAATTAATTAATAATTCCTGATTGATGTGTCAGGAAAAGGGTACGCTAACACGAACTTATTTTGTTATTATAACTGTCTTTATTACTAGATTGTTATATCCGGAACTAAATTTGTAGGTTAGTGAAATATTTTCTCTTATTACAACCCTCCAAAATACAAATAACTTTCAATTTGCTTTGTTCTTCGTTGTCGTTCCGAAAATGAGGTGGAAAAACTTACATGTTTCGAATAGCTAACCGATTTATCAGATGGCCGTGAAATATCTAAATTTGTTTTGCGATTGCTTAAGAAAAAACTTACACTGTTTTCAAATGATTTTTTATCAGAGTTAGTTTCGTGGAAACTTACGCTATATGTTATATACCATATGCTTTACCACGATTCGGATCAACTTACAAACATAAATAAGACAGTGGCGCACAAATACAGCTTATATTTACTCAATAGCCTTCTAATCCCTAATATATTAATTGAGATTTTATGCATTGATCGATATTAGATTAGTATGATCTTAACTAAATTTTTCTAATGTACTTTATTAACGACATCTTCAAGGGGACGTGCAAAATGCTTATGCACCTCGATTTTCGCAAATATTTCCTTGCGAACTAAATATTATCAAGGTCAAAAATTGCAAACCATTTTTGGTCACTTCGCGACAAAACAAAACGCGTGATTTTTTTAAGTTAAGTCGAATAAATATTTGCAAACCACTTTGGGCCTTAATATTATTTTTTGAGAAGCTCGCTTGAAGGGAAAGCAAAAGGAAATTTTAGGAAAGCTTATACTTAAATTTTCCATTAAGCCTGCCGTTTCATTTCTTCTTCATTTAAATTTTTTGTTTACATAAAATATTAGCTAATATGAATTTTTGTTGTATTAATTGCGTACATTAATATGGCACCCATCGACTTGACGCGTTTGGGGTGTGAAGGTTTTTAATAATTCAATGCAACAAGTATGTTTTTCAACTCTTCTGAGACAGACTTACATTGCTATTTCTATATGTATTATTATTATTATTATTATTATTAATTTCGCCAGAGAAATAAATTCTAAGACTAAACTCTTAAAAGCACTAGCATCTAAGGCTATCAGCCTATTCTACATGTAGTATATCTATTTTCACTGAAACCCATCCATTTGACGGGTAACTTTTATGAATAATCATTTTTGCAGAAATTTGGCGCGAACCTTTCTTAATCTATTAGCAATATATGGTTAAAAATGGGCGTGATCTGTGACACACACTCCCACAATGTAAAAAAACCTAAAATAAACTCGGAAAACACTGACTATTTTTTATGTTTTTGTCTATAAATTTGATTCCGTGAATATGTTTTAAAAAGACTGTTACCCAGCTGTGTTCCCCAGAATCCCTTATATGATCGAGTCAAAAATGGTCCTGATCAGTTCAGTAATACGTTCACCATTAACGCATGAGTTAATTGAGTTAGCATTTATAAAGCATTTTACTTTGGTTTATTTTTGACGCTATCTGCTACAGTTTGATTTTTACTAGATTTACGTTCATTGATTACATATACTTGTAATTGAGGAAATTTCTTTTGCACATAGGTTTAAACAACATTCTTATCCTAAGTCAATTCTCCATTAACTTTGTTTTTACAAGCATGAGTTTATGTGTACTCAATTTATTTGAAAACTATTCCCGAATTTATGAACACAATGAATACATTAACGCAATGATTAAAGTCGTTTCGATTTCATTTTTTTTAAATGCCAAAATGTTCCAAATTGTTTTAGACCCCTTTGAAGTATTTATAAGCTTTACGATCTCACGCCAAACCCTGCTAAATATTTCTATGAATTTCGAAAATGTTCTTCAACTCCGCATAATAATTTCACTCTTTTTCCAATTTCTTTCTTTTTTTTTAACCGCCTTTGCTCGTCCTCTTCTTCATCACCTTTTATTTTTTCGCAGGCACGCCAATTTTTCATGCCTGCCTGTTATTTTGTTCGTCGTCATTCAGTTAATGACCCAACATTCCATAGGGTCATATTTGAAACTAATGTAATATCAAATAAAATAAAATTTTACAAAGGGAAATTTGTGAAATTTGTGACGGAATAGTAAAATCTAGGTTGCTAAGCAAAAGTGGTGGCCTTGAATAAGTTCCATTAAAAAGACTATTCCAAAAATCAGCCCCCTACGTTCGAGCCTAGGCAAATAATTAGAAGCAAACGATGTTCACAAAGAGGCTAAGTTCTGTCTGCATCGCTTGCTGATCCCTGCAAAGCAAACAGAAGAAATTATTTTCTGATTGATTTAATCATATCAATATACTAACCGTAATTGGGATACCAAACAACAGAGGCGTATTCGACAAGGGATATTATCCACGCAATCTAAAGATCTTTCGTTACATGAGGGTCATTAAAGTTTTTCAACTGCTCTTGCATAAGACCCAGCGCCAATCTTGCTTTACGCATTACTGATTTCATATCAAGAATAAGAGTCAGTTTACTGTAGTTTAATGTAGCGTGTAGTTTTAAACTACACCAAGATCATTAAATGATGAAAGCAATTCCAAACCCTCTCCAAATAAATTTTAATTCAATGTGATGGAGGACATTCTATCAAATAACATAGATTTACGTTTTTTTATTCGTAATGCCATCTCATTTGCCTTGCATCATTGACGCAATAAATTCACGGCGACAGAAATCTTCAAAATTCTAATAAAAAAGCTTCACGTCGTACACCAGAACGTTGCATTATATTGGGGAGATCAGGTACCAAGAGACGAAAAAAGCGAACGTACATGGGTCGCCTGAATTGATGAGGAAGTCATCAATATATGCTCAGAAACATGAGATTTAAATAAAAGTCTCCGTGAGCGAACCGTAAGATAAGAAAAGAAGACCGGAGCTGAAACCACATCCTTTTTAACTTAACTATTACAAGACCATGGCCAACTCTATCAATTCCGTAACGCAATTAGATTTTTTTTGATATATTTTCGGAATCATCAATACTAAATTGTCGTGTTAAAGATACTTAGGTAATAAGTAAAGCAACCTGATATGTTAACACAAAAATCATGGCAACAAAACAAATTGCAGGGGACCCCAATTTACTTAAGCTTAATAGATTTTTTAAAGGAATTTGCCCTTACAATTTTGTTTTCTACAACTTTTCTTTTTTGTTTTTTGTTAAGACTAGGAATCCTGTGAAGCAAACCTTTTAATTTAAAAGATCGTTCGTGTAAAAAAATTCCAAAAAAATTTTAATCATCTGACTGTGTGGATTGTCTGCTATGTAATAATTAAAAGAGTTTTTTAGTACTCAGCCTTATCTTACATAAACAACAATTTGTCACTTGATAGACGTTATTTAACATTGCACTTCTTCTAAATTTTGTAACTTAAGTATATGGTGAAAAATTTTATTTGAAATATTTCATACGAAATAACTTTTTTTCTTAAATATTTGAATATTTTTTCTAAATAATGCACATCAATGGTCCAAGATTCACTCTGGTGCCCACATTGTTTTTTTATTTCTGACACAGGGCTTTAATATTACTTAATATTACAAAATTTTATTCAACAATATTGCAAATATTTGTTTTTAATAAAATGAAATTGTAATACATGAATTGCAATACATAATGTAATACAGCATCCACCTCTTTATAATTATGTCCTTGGGCGAAATCAATTAAATTCAGATATGCAATTTTTTTAGCCCATGGCTTTTTGAGCCATATTACTGTTGACAAAATTCAGCAAAAACAGAAGCCGAAAATCAAACTTTTCGAATAAAATATTCGCGTAAGTATACTTGGTGCTTTCAGCTTGGCCTTTGGTAGTTTGCATACATAATAGGTCATATCGAGAAGTCTACGCCTCAGCAGACAGTTTGCGTGCCGTTCTTGCTTCATCAGGTGCAAGATTTCATCGACTTTTTCAATCACTGCGACGTCCATCTTTGATTTTGAAATTGCGGAACGGAATCGAGCAAACCACCCCTGGATCCTACGTTCCCTCAGAACATTCTCACCGTACACATCGCAAAATTTTTTTTTTTTGCAGCGTTTTTATCTTTTTTATAGAAAAAAGCATCGTATAGCCTATTTTTTCGGATATTTTACTCTTTTTCAAATGAATACAATTTTTACAAGAGAAAAGAATTAGAAAAATGGAGCTAAAATATCACCTTTAAAGCACATGTTCCTTGGAGACAATCAGGTGAGTGTTGCCCGATTTATAGGCATCAACATCATCTAACGGAAAAAACCGCGGAGAGGTTTCAATATAATACGCCTAATATTTTGCTTACTTTGATTTTACATTTCTCTTCTTCGTTTCTACATAAATTTTGCTCAGTTTTAATTATTTGGAAGGCAAAACCAAAGTTACTACAATGGATTAGCGCGAAATATTTAATACTCTACTTTTATTAACATGTTGTTGTTGCAATCTGAATTTTTGAATCACCCAATTTTCTAGGAAGAATACAAAATTTCCAATATGAGAAATTGTTTAGTGACATAAAACTTTTTATTAAGCGTACAATTCTTTTAAGTTTTGCCGTGAATATCCAATCATTGCTAGCAAAAGTCTAAGAATGTGAGATTGTTAAAACAGAATACAAAATCTGAGGGTACGTCTTGGCATTTGTCAACGTAAACCAGTTCGACTGGATTCGGTTTTGTTGTTTTGGCTTGGATGATCCAAGCATATTTTAATATTTCATTGCGTTTGAAGTTCTCAATTTTGCGTCTACTGTAAACGCCTTTATGAGAAACCTAGCTTTCGTCTCACTTTTCGGGAAAAGCAAACGCGAAGAATTGTGTAGACTAACTTCCTTAGAACTTTACAGAGCTGTCTGATATGCTTTATAGAAGAACTTCGCTCATCTCTTAATAGATTTTCAATAAAATTTCATCAAAAGAAGAGTTCAGAAACTTAGCATAAATTGCTTTAATCCAAAATTCTTGATTGTGTAGATAGAAGAGTATAGAAGACAAGAGAAACGTTATAGAATTCTTCTCTCAAACTATATCAAGCAC